CATACAAGCAAAAATAAGTAGATACACAAGGAAATGCCTACAAAAACAATAGACATTAGAAACAGACACACACAAAGGCTGCAAATATTGGTGTTGTCAGATATAGCCTTTAAAATAATAATACTTACTACATTCAAGGAGATAAATACAAGGTTTAGAATATTGGCAGATAACTTGACTTTTTTTTTGGAGAACCAAATGAAAATTCTAGGAATGAAAGATAATGGATGAATTTAATAGCAGATTAGATGTAACTAAAGAGGGAAATAGTGACCTGGAATAAGTCAGAAGAAACTATCCAAAATGAAGTATGGAAAGACAAAAACATGTAAAATCCAGGGAAGGGTATGAGACACAGAGTATACGGTGAAAAGGCCTAATGTGTATCTAATTTTATTGGATTCTCAGGAGAAGAAAGAGAGGATGTGAAGAAACAATATTTAAAGAGCTAATAGGCTAAGAATTTTCCAAAATAATGAAAGATACCAATTTACAGATTTAAGAATCCCAACAAATACCAACCAATATAAAGAAAACAAAAGTCACTTCTACACACATTAATGGTAAAACTTCAAAAGCCAAAGCCAAAGGGAAAAATATTAAAAGTATTCTAATGTCCCTTCATTGTCTGGGAATAGAGTAAAAGTACCACTTGTTTTCCGCTTTGAACAGGAGGCCCTAGCCAGCACAGAAGGCAAGAAAAAGATATCGTTAGGTCAGCAAGACAAAGGGATTAAAGGACTCTGAGCCAAACATTTGCCACACCAGGAGTTTATTTCCAGCAAACCTAGAAGGGAGACTGAAAGATCAGTTCTGCCCCCATACAGACTAGTAGAGGTTTTATAGGGTTTGAACTAGGGGAAGGGGTTTGGATGGAGAGTATGTTTTGAGAAGGGGTTGGGTAAACTACTCTGAGCATTCAGCACTTTGTAATGGTTCTGCAGTTTTCCTGTTTTGTACAGGATTCTGTTTTGCACAATATCCGATTTTTCTCCGAAAGCACTTACATGAAGGGGAGGCAGGAAAGGAAGCGGTTAACATGGCTGTGCTTATGCTAAGCTGATTGTGAGGCCTAATAGATATGAAAGATATAAAGATTGAAAAGAAAGAAAACTTACATTATTCATAGATTTTATACATAAAAAATACAAAAGTAAAGTACAGATCATTGGTTAGAATCCATAAGTGAGTTTCATAAGGTTACTACTGGATACAAGGTCAGTGTACATAAATCAATTCCATGTTTGTATGCCAGCAACAAATGATTAGAAAAATGAAAGTTAAAATGACGTTTTAAAATACCTATAAATAAATTGTGTAAAGGATGTGCAAGACCTCTGTGCAAGAACGTCAGTTCTGTCCAAACTGATATATTAGATTCAGTTCAATCCCAGCCAGAATCCCAACATATTTGGAAATTGGGGGAAGAGATTTGAATAATCTGCTTTTAAAATTTATATGGAAATGTAGAGAACTAAGAGAAGCCAATAAACACCTGAAGAAAAACTAGGTAAGAGGATTTGCCCCATCAGAGATGAAGACCACAGCTTTAGTTATAGCATTTCAGTAATTAGGACAGTGGCAAAAGGATAGACTAATAGAATATAAGTGCAAAAACAGATCCAGTATAAATGAACTTTTGATTTTAAAAAGATGGCACTACTAAGAAAGTAAAGTCTTTTTCAATAAATGGTACTGGGACAATTGAATATCTATATAAAAAAATGAAGCAAGCCCATCCTTACACTGTAAGCAAAGTTAACTTCTGTTTATTAAAGGACAGCGTGAAGAGGGTGAACAGGCTGGAGATATTTACAGCATGTGTACCCAACGTGGGATCCATATCCAGAGTAATCAATAAGAAAAAGACAGATAATCCAATAGAAAAAAATTGCAAGAGATTTGAATAGGCGCATCTGAAAGAGCATATGCAAATGACTGATAATATATGAAGTGAAAAAGCCTCAGCCTTACGAGTGATCAGGAACATGCTGTGTAACTCCAAGAGAAATAAGAACTTATGTCCACACAAAAACTTGTATACAAATGTTCATAGCAACATGATTCATAATAACCAAAAAGTGGAAACAACCCAAATGCTGTCAGCTAATAAATGGATAAATAAAATAGGGTATATCTACTCAATGGAATATTATTTGGCAATAAAAAGAAATGAAATACTGATATATGCCACAAATGGATAAACCTTGAAAACCTTATGCTAAGTGAGAGAAACCAGACACAAAAGGCCACATGTTGTATGATTCCCCACTTATACGAAATGTCTAGAATAGGCATATCTGTAGAGACAAAATAGATTAGTAGTTGCCTAGAACTTGGGGTGTTGGGGGAGATGGAAAGTGACTGTTAAAGCGTATGGTGTTTTTTAGGGGGGTGATGAAAATGTTCTAAAATTGTAGTAGTGATTGCACAATTCTGTGACTATCCTACAGATCATTAGATATTATACTTTATTCTTTTTTTTAGTTTTATTTTATTTTTTAATTACTTTTTTATTTTTTTAATTGACACGTAATAATTGTACATATTTATGTGGTATAGAGATATATTTCAATACATGTATATAACGTGTGATGATCAAATCAGGGTAATTAGCATATCCATCATTGTAAAAATTTAGTTTGTGATAAGAGCATTTGAGCTCCTTTCTTCCAGCCATTTGAAAACATATAATAAATTATTGTTAATGATAAACACCTAGCACCACTTCAGACCATGAGAACTTATTTTTCCTATCTAGCTGTAACTTTGTATCCATTAAGTAACCCTCCCTATCCCTCTTCCCCCCCCCCCCCCCCCCCACCCTTCCCAGCCTCTAGTAACGACAATCCTCCTCTCTACTTACATAAACTCAGCTTTTTTTTTCTAGCTCTCACATGAGTGAGAACATGCAATATTTATCTTTCAGTGCCTGACTTATTTCACTTAATGTAATGCCTTCCAGGCTCATCCATGTTGCTGCAAATGACAGGATTTCATTCTTTTTCATGGCTGAGTAGTATTTCATTGTGTATATATATTGACATTTTCTTTATTAATTCATCTGTTGATGGACACCTACACTGATTCCATATCTTGGCTATTGTGAATAGTGCTGCAATAAACATGGGGGTGCAGATATCTCTTCAATATGCTCATTTCCTTTCCTTTGGATAAATGCCCAGTTGTGAGAATGCTAGATCACAGGATATTTCTATTTTTAGTTTTTTGAGAAACCTCCATACTGTTTTCCAAAATGGGTCTACTAATTTACATTCCCACCAACATTTTATGAGTTCCCTTTTCTCTGCATCCTCACCAGCATTTCTGTATTGTTTTTTGATAACAGCCATTCTAACCAGGGTAAGATTATATCTCACTGTGGTTTTGATTTGCATTTCCCTGAGAATTGGTGATATTGAGTATTTTTTTATATATACCTGTTGTCCATTTGTATGTCTTCATTTCAGAAATGTTTACTCAGGTCATTTGCCCATTTTTTAGTTGGATTATTTATTTTTTGGCTGTTAAGTTCCTTGTATATTCTGGATATCAATCCTTTGTTGGATGAATAGTTTGCAAATATTTTCTTCCATTCTGCAGGTTGCCTCTTTATTCTGATGATTATTTTCTTTGCTGTGCAGAAGGTTTATAGTTTGAGGTAGTCCCATTTGTCTGTTTTGTTGCCTGTGCTTTAGAATTCTTCTCCATAAAATTTTTGCCCAGACCAATTTCTTGGAGTGTTTCCCCTATGTTTTCTTCTAGTAGTTTTATACTTTCGGGTCTTACATTTAAGTCTTGAATCCATTTTGAGTTGATTTTAGTATATAGTGAGAGATAGGGCTCTGGTTTCATTCTTTCTGCATATAGATATCCAATTTTCCCAGTACCATTTATTGAAGAGGCTGTCCTTTCCTCAATGTATGTTTTTGGTGCCTTATAAAAGGTCATCTGGCTGTAGATATGTGGATTTATTTCTGGGTTCTCTATTCTGTTCCATTGGTCCATGTGTCTGAATACTAAAGTTTAAATGGGTAAATTGTACGGTATATGAATTATATCTCAATAAATCTGTTTTTAAAAAATGAGATAGTACTACTGCATACACACCAGATGGCTAACATTTCTTAAACTGACAATACAAAGTATCGGCAGGGATGTGGAGTGATGGTAATTCTCATATCCTGCTGATAGGAATATAATCAGTACTACCCTTTTGGAAACATGTTTGACATCAGTTCTTAAATTTGAACACATGCATACCTTATGATCTAGGATTTCCACTCCTAGGTATATATTCAACAGAAGAGATAAGTCCAGAAATGATCTTAGCAGCATTATTCATAATAGCCAAAACTTATAAACAACCCACAAGTCTATCAATAGTAGAATGGGTGAATAAATTGTGATGTAGTCATACAATATAATATAACATAGCAATGGAAATGAGTAGACTACATCTACACACAAAAGATGAATCTCACAAACATAATATTGAGTGAAAGTGCCATACACAATGCATACTACATGACTGCATTTTTATGAAATTCAAAAAACAGGTAAAACTAAGCTGTAGAGCTTAGGAGGGTGGTGCATGTTTAAGGAGGAAAATTATAAAGAAAGCAAGAAACAATTACCATAAAAATCAAGATAGTGATTGATGACTTTTGGAGGAAAGAAGGGTTGGTAATTGGGAAAGCTCAGGAGGGGAGCTTCTAGGTTGTCAGTGTTTTTTGTTTGTTTGTTTGTTTGTTTTAATCTGATGATGATTAGCATGTTTATTATGTGTTGATTCATTGTGATGCACATTATTTGTGTGTACTCTTCCATACCTGTTTCACAACAAAAAATCTTTAAGGAGTAATTAAATATTTAATACAGTACATGTCAGTGTACATACACATGCGTATGTGTTGAATCTAATCAACAGTTAGTAAATGCTTATTTTGTGAGGTTACTACGCTAAGGACTAATAATTCAGTTTCTCTTTCTCTTTGTAGGAATATGTTTATCCAGAAGCCAGAGACAGACAGTACTTACTATTTTTCCATAAAGGAGCCAAAAAGACACGTTTTGACTTAGAGAAATACAATCAACTCAAGGATGCAATTGCTCAGGTAAGTTTTGCAAAAATTAAAATAAACCCCAGCTCCATGCTATATGGCATCATTATTATTATTCTTTTTTTTTTTTCCTTTTTGTCTTTTTCGTGACCGGCAACAGATCGCAACCCTCAGTGTTGCGCCTGTACCGGACCTGGACCGGCAACGGGATCGCAACCCTCGGTGTTGCGCCCGCACCTTGCTCAGCCTGTGAGCAGTCGGTCTGTATGTGGGATCCGAACCCTCGGCGGGAGCGCCACCGCACTCCCAAGCGGCACACTGTGGCAGTGCGCCACCGGGCCAGCCCACATTATTATTATTCTTAATCATAGTACTTCAAATGGGTAAACTGAAAGGATGATTCAACCCTCTTCTTCCTGTGTAAATTATTCCTTGGTTGATAAAAAAGACTATTTTAGCCATGGACACCTTTCCAGAAAGTTTTATTACATAAACAGATGAAAAGATGGTGTGCCCTGTCTATCCTATTAACTTTAGCAATTGAAACTTCTGGAAGTTTTGCTTTTACTTTTTTTCATTTTGTTTCTTTAGAGTTGTCTATTTTTACTTTTCTCTCTTCTTTTTAATCTTTCTACAATAATTGACCTAAAGATTTTTCATCTAAACTATGTGGTAGCAATGGGGCAAAAGTAAAATCCAGGGCCGGCCCGGTGGCGCACTGGATAGTGCGCCACTTGGGAGCGTGGAGGCGCTCCCGCCGAGGGTTCGGATCCCATGGGGAGACCGGTTCCCGCTCACTGGTTGAGCGCGGTGCAGGCGCAGCACTGAGGGTTGCGATCCCGTTGCCAGTCCCCGGTATGGGCGCGACACCGAGGGTTGCGATCCCGTTACCGGTCAGTAAAAAAGACAAAAAAGGAAAAATAAATAAATAAATAAAAAGTAAAATCCAGGTAAGAGGCAAAGACTACTAGAAATCTTTGCCAGGCACAGGTCAGAGATTATTAAACTAGAAGATGCTTTTTAAAAATATTGATACATTTTATTTTTCATAAATCTACCTCTTAAATTTTCAGATGTGCTTTCCTCACTCTGATATCTTTGATTTTGGTGAATAAATCCTCATTCCTTTTCTCCATAGTCTTTGGCAAATTTAGGGATTTTTGAGCAATCTCTAGGAGCTCTTCCATTCTCTTTAATGTTCAGCTGCTCTTCTCTGGACCATCTCTGCCTTATCTGTCTTCTGTTGCTATGTGCAGTGTTTCTCAACTGGAGGCAGTGCATCAGAATCATGTCTGGAGCTATTAAAAATACAGATGCTTTAGCCCCACCCTAGGCTTGCTTATTAATCCACCTCCTCAGGGATGAGGTCCAAGCATGTATGAGTTTTGAAAGTGCTGAAGTTGATTGAACATAGCTGTTTTAAAATTCACTGGCTAAGCGAAAACCTTAAACAAATACTGAATGAATAAATAAAGTCTTGAGTAGTGTAAGTTCTGGCCCCAGGCAGAGGTTTGTGAAAGGGCTTCTCCCTTTAGACAACACCATGGATAGCACGTCTCAGATGCTCCCTACATTCTTAGGCCCCTGAGCCCTACCCTGTTGATAGCACTGTCTTTTCTGGAGTTTTGTTGACAGCTGAAACTGCCAAGGACAGACTTCCATTATTCTCCCTTTGTTTGTCCTATGTCTTGGGTTAAAGCCCTTTGTCTGAGACGCTCTTAGTTTGAGAGTAATCGAGATGATCTCTCTGACTCGAAATAATGGAAGACAGTTTCTTCTCTCAGTAGGCAGTAATGTCATTGAAATCTTCACTAGCCAGTTTTTCTCACCTTTTGTTTCTTTTTTAGGCAGAAATGGACCTTAAGAGACTGAGAGACCCATTACAAGTACATCTGCCACTCCGACAAATCGGTGAAAAAGATTGATCTGCAAAGAGCCTCTGAATCCCGGCAGAAAGGACACCTGTTTGCCTTTTTAACTGAAGCACTGCAGGTGGAAGCTGGGAACCATGTGGGGGTAGAGGGTTTTTACTTTTAATTATAAAAACAAAAGCAAAAAGGATCTTAGGGAAGAAAGAATGTTAAAATCTGAGTATCGGGCATTGTGGAATATAAGCTCAAAGGGCTTAGTGAATATTGTCTTAATCAAGCATCTCAATTTCTGGATGAAAATGATGCTGTTATATAGTTGAGAGATTCATAAAGAGAAAATGATGCTTGGGGTGTTCTTTTCCTGCATCTTCTTTGCAGGGTCAGCAAACCAGTAACACACCAGCACCCCACTCAGCGCTAATTTTTTTATTTGACTTTTCTTATTTTTGACATAGGAGTAAATAAATGCACCAGAAAAGCAAGTCCTCATGATAATTGGGTGGCAAACAGAGTCTGAGCACATATCATTAGCATTTGTTTTAATTTGGACTCAGTCTCTGCAAAGTTACCAGGAATCTCTCCCTTCTGTACCCCTTTTCTGACTACCTACCTATACCTGTTGGTTACACTAATTTTATCCATATGATAATTGGTTCCAACTTATGACTGTTTGATGATTGACACTTTTTAAATGTCTGTATATCTCAGTATTCTGGATGAGTTTCTAGAAATCACTGGCAACACTGCATGAGTTTTTTTGTTTTAGTTTGGTTTTTTGCTAATTAGTCTTTCAGAGGAGGAAAAATTTCCCTCCTTTATATACCTATCTCATTGATAATCCCTTCTCCCTCCATAACTCAAATCGGGGTGGGGCATTCAGCTAAATTACCAAATCAGGAAGATGTAAGGATTACAAATTGGCTAAAAATCATGGCTCTGTAGCCATTTCAGAACCAGAATGATTTCATTGCTGTTAATCCACTTGTGTGACAGCATTCCAGGCCACTCAGGTGGCACTACCTTTTCTGGAGGCTTTGTTCGTTCCGAAGGACAAACACTTCCAGCTGTCTTCGAGCCCTCGCACCTCCACCACTTTAGTCACTGTAAATCAAGTGTGTGGGTCTCAAAGGGTGCAATTTATCTTTATACAGGAATACATTTCTGTGGCTTTCTTCAGCCCTCCCTCTCCACCCTATTTTTTTCTTATCTTTAATTGAGAAAGAAGAATTAATCTTATACTCTATCAAAATATTTTCTACCATGTTTTCAGATGACATCTGCATTTGGAGAGTCAAAGAAATCTGTGTCTAATATCCTGTTTTTGACTACTGTGGGGCAGGATGGAAACGATGATGGGGCTTTGCCTCACTGCCGATTGGCTTTTTTCTTTCACATGATTCATCCCTCCTCATTGTGGCAAGGGTTTCACTCTTCTTCCTCCTTTGGGATCACTATGTATGAAAGGAAAAACGTTAAATGACAAACCCAGACTCCAGGTGCCTTGCAGAGGTCGAAGGCCAGCCAGGGCTGCTGCTGCTGCTGCCACCACCCCTTTCACTGGCATGACAGAATGAAAGGATGTATGTCTGCACCTCCTAGCCCCCCTCCCACTTCCTCCCGCCACCCCCCCCCAGTCGTTCAATCCCTCATTTATTTTTGTTGTGTGAATTATTTTTAAAACATTTATCCTGTTTGTGTGTAGGGTTTTTGAGAAGAAACAGCACAGTGCAATCAGCAAATCATTTTGGGGTGTGTGGGAGGTAAGGGAGGGAATACATGGAGAAAAGTCCTTTAAACAAATAGCAAAATATTGAACATGTGTAAAATCCTGTATCATTTATGAAATATGTATAAAAAGCAATGTATCTTCTGGAACAATAAATACTTATTCAATTTTTGAACTACAGCATCTCATTCTTTAAAACAAAACTGGGAGAAAGCTTATTTTGCTGAGATTCTTTTTTTTTTTTTTTTTTTTTTTTTTTTTTTTTTTTTTTTTGGTCTTTTGTCTTTTTTCTGTGTCCGGCAACGGATCGCAACCCTCAGTGTTGCCCCCGTACCGGACCGGGGACCGGCAACGGGATCGCAAGCCTCGGTGCTGCTCCCGCGCCTCGCTCAGCCAGTGAGCGGGAGCCGGTCTGTATGTGGGATCCGAACCCTCGGACGGGAGCGCCGCCGCGCTTCCCAAGCGGCGCACCATCCAGTGCGCCACCGGGCCGGCCCATTTTGCTGAGATTCTATGTGGAAAGCTTTTTACTTCTAAAGTTAGTTTTTAGAAAAATATCATTATCAACTGAAGCTTTGTTTCTAGAGCCTATTTCAAAAATAGGCATTTCACTACTTCTTCCTGAACCTAAGATGGTCAGTATTTTTCTAATGTTTCAGAGCCACCGAGAGGTTGACCCCTACAACCATAAACAAAGTTAGCAGCAGCACTGAGATTGATTGCTTATATCTTGATTGACAGGAAAAATCTCCATTATATCAGACCACTTTGATTGCCCAGTGTGGGCTCCTGAATTCCAAAAAGGTGTTCAAGGATGAACCCAAGATTAAATATTATTTTCGGAGTTAGTATCAAATTTACAGTGATCGCCAAATAGGAAAATACCACATGTTGCCAAATTTATCAAAGGCATGTCAGAAAGCATGTTTTAAATGTCTGATTGTTTTAGTGCAGTCTGAGGTGATATTCAAAGAGCCTCTTGTAGCTGTGGTCCTGCCTCTTGACAGCTTTCAGCAGACTAACACAGACAACCCTGGGACTCACCTAAGGTGTAAGAAGATGAGATTGGAAATGTTAAGCCATTGTTTTCAGTCAACAAATAACGTCTACATAGTCACATACTCTGTTAAGCTTTGCAGGGGTTTTTTTAAAGGAAAATAAAAACGTATGATTCCTGCCTCTAAGGAGCTTACAATTTAAAGTTTACTTTAAAGCGTAATGAGCTCAGCAAAAAAAAAAAAAAAAGGCAAAGGAGTTGAATAAACATTTCTCCAAAGAAAATATGCAAATGGTCAATAAACACACAAAAAGATGTTCGGCATCACTAATCATTAGGGAAATGCAAATCAAAACTACCATGAAATACCACTTCACACCTATTTGGGTGGCTGTTATCGAAATAAACTAGAACACGTGCTGGTGAGGATGTAACGAAATTGGAACCCTTTACACTGCTGGTTGTAAAGTAAAATAGTGTACCTCCTGTGGGAAAAAGTATGGGAATTTTTGTTAAACAGAATTACCGTATGATCTGGAAATTCTACTTCTGGATATATGTCCAAAATAATTGAAAGTAGGGACTCAGACATTTGTACATCCGTATTCATAGCATTATTCACCATAGTCAAAAGGTGGGAGCAGCTCACCCATCAATGCAGTTGATGGACACATGTCTATCAACAGATGAATGAGTAAACAAAATGTGATATCTCCATACAATGGACTATTCAGCTGTAAATGAAATCCCGACACACGCTATAATATGGATGAACCTCGAAGATATAAATAAGCTAAATGATAAGCCAGTCACAAAAAAGGACAGATACTTTATGATTCCGCTTATATGAGGTACCTAAAGTAGTCAAATTCATAGAAATATAAAGTAGAAATGGTGGTTGCAGGGGCTGGGGGAGGGGAGAATGGGGAGTTGCTTAATGCACACGGAGTTTCAGTTTAGGAAGACGGTTTCATTTTGGGAAGATGAAAAAGTTCTGGAGCTGAGTGGTGGTAATTGTTGCCCAGCAATGTTATTATGCTTAATGCTGCTAAAATGTACACTTAATGGTTAAAATGATAAGTTTTATATCAGTATATTTTGCTACAATAGAAGAAATAGAGAATTTTCATTAGAGATGGATAATGGATAGTGTTAAATCTATTACCAAATGTAGGTAATGCACTTTTGCTGAGGGAGCATACTTTTAGATGGAGAAAGTAGAAGGGTCCTCAGAGTATGGTCCCCAGAGCAGCTGCATGGCACCTCCTGGGAACCGTTAGAAATGCAGGTTCTCTTGTCCTCAATGAATCAGAAACTAGGTGTGGGGCCAGCAGTCTGTTTTACAAGCCCTCCTGATGATTCTGATGAAAACCCTCGATCCACCATTGTATTAGCCCGTTTCTGTTGTTTATAACAAAATATCTGGAACTGGGTGATTTATAAAGAAACCGAAATTTATTGCTTACAGTTTGGAGGCTGGAATACATTTGGTGAAGGCCTTGATAGTGGTGACAATTACAGCAGGTTATCACATCGTGATATGGTGGCGCAAAGAGAGGGACAGACTCTTCTTCATGCTCCCCTCTTAAAGCCCTCAGTACCACGCCTCTGACCACCATTACTAATCCATTCAGTATGGCGTGGTCCTACAGTCTAATCACATTTTTAAGACCCCACCTTTCAATTCTGTAATAGGAATTCCCACCCTGAACAGTTACAGTGGGGATTAAGTTTTGGGGGGACATGTTTTTCTGCATAGTGAAGGAAGCAATCAACAGAATGAAAAGACAATCTATAGAATGGGAGAACATATTTGCAAACTATACATTAACAGGATTAATACCCAGAATATACAAAGAACTCAAACAACTTCACAATAAAAAACCAAATAACCCAATTAAAAAAGGGCAAAGGAGCTGAACAGCCATTTTTCAAAGGAAGACATACAGATGGCCAACAGGTACTTGAAAACAGCTCAACATCACTAATCATCAGGGAAATGCAAATCAAAACCACACTGAGATATCAGCAAGTTAGACTGGCTATAATCAAAAAAGATTGAGAATAACAAATGCTGGTGAGCATGCAGAGAAAGGGGAACTCTTCCACACTGCTGGTGGGACTGTAGATTAGTAGAGCACTGTGGAAAACAGTATGGAGACTTCTCAAACTCCAGGTCTACCATATGATCCAGCAATCCCATTTCTGGGTGTATACCCAAAGGAACAGAAAACATGTCAAAGGGATACCTGCACTCCCAGGTTCATCGCAGCTCTATTACAATAGCTAAGGTATGGAACCAATGTAAATGTCCATTGATGGATGACTGGATAAGGAAAATATGGTATATATATATATATATATATATA